ATTTTGTAGAAATGAAACTTTCGTTTCAGGCATAAGAATTTCCTCAGGAATTTTTAGGTATCTCCTTAAATTTTCGTCATCCAACATTGATTTTTTATGATTTATTGGCATGCCATGTACAAAATATGTAGCGCCGAATAAAGCTATTCCTCTAGAGTATATTTAGTGAGAATCAAATTAATATAATCTTTTCATTATTTTTAATTCTTTATATTAAAAAAACGAATTAAAAACTTACACAATAGGTTCATAAGCTTGTAGAATTGAAATTTTTGACGAAACAGATGATTTTTCTGCAATATTTGCTATTTGTATGAATAAAATAATCGAGAAATAAAGGAAATTGAGCATTGAAAAGAGAAATTTGAATCTGCAATTTTTAGCTGTTTTTCGTTTTTGACTCTCCGATTGTTCATTCGAATTTCGTTTTTGACTCTCCAATTGTTCATTCGAATTGTAAATCAATTTTATGATTGAGTGACCTTTGAAGCAAAAATAAATAATAGCGTTAAACACAAGATAGCTCGATAATAGTTATTATTTATAAATATTATATCATAGTTTTTAACTCACTTGTAGATGATAGCGTAATGAAAGATGTAATTGCAGTCGGCAAAAAATAAAGCAGCAGCTCTGTATTGTCTTCACCAGATGCTTGGCAATATAAAAGATTTGTAGCCATATTAAAATACTGATGAATAAAAGTTACAACCCAAAGAAATGCTGAAATTATCCATCCAAAATTTTCTTCTAACTTCACATCTATTTTCGAGAGATTATGCCACAGATAAAAAGTTATAGCACTAGGAGAAATTTGAAGTGGAATCAAAACTAATACAACTATTTTTAACTGTATAAAGGATTCGAATTCTCTTGGAGCTAAATTTTTTCCATATACAAAAATTGAAGAGATATGACGAACCAACGCGCATATACATAATGATAATTGAAGAAGAGTTGTTCTTGTGAAATTAACTTGGGTTTTATAGAGTTGGCACATAAGTTTGAATATTACAGCTATTGATATATAATTCAACGCTATAAAACATATATTTAAACTAGTATGGGATAGCATTATTCAAAAAAATTATCAAATTTATGAGAAATCTGAAGAGCTCAGCTGTC